ATTACCGAATACTATTTTTAATTGCAGCAACTCAAAATAGTATTCGGTAATTTGTATGGCCCCCACATGCATGCATGCATAGGCAGATCTACTGGGGTAACCAAATAGGGCAAAGCGAGGGAGCCAGGGGTCGTGTGGAAATGAGACACGGGATGAAACAGTTAAAAACTGATTATCTATAGAGAAATTAAATCCTAAAGAAAGCACACTGTTGCTAGCATAGCTGCAGTGCTGATTTTGAGATGATAAAAATCAGATTGCAGAACGCTATTTCTCTATCTATGAAGTTAGTTAGGCCTGACGTCTCAGGCTCATAAAGACATATTTATGGTCAAATATGACAGAAAAGAGACTATCAGGTTTGGCTGTCCTCAAATCAAAATGCACAAAGGCATTGGATCTAAATAAAAGTGTGAAGCGTTTTGCTGAGCAACATGGAAATCGCTGCATTCAGCTGTTATAGTCATGTTAACTTTATGTTCTGCTCTCTGGTGAACCTTTACAGAGCTGTTACATTTTGTTTTGGCACCTGAGAAAATCTGATATTTCCTTTAATAAAACCAAAAGTGTTAAAAGTAAAGTTAAAATGTGACACTGGTGTAAATCCTGTTTAATATGAAGCCGTGTTGTTTCTTTTTTTTGTATATATAGTATGAAACTATCCAGAAATGACCTGTATGAACCTACTCACCAAATGTTTTGTACTTTATAGACTGGAAGCAAAATGTATTTTTATGTTGCTTCTTTTCAGATTTGTGGAGATTTTGCTGTAACATACAGAACCTGCTTTTTGTTGATTTGTTGATACAGCAGCTCTATCTACAGCATATTTACATGCATGAAATGTCCCTTTCATGTTGCCTTAACTGCTGTATGACAAGTTACTGAGGAACAAATGGGGTAAATTACTGTGTAGTAATGCTCACTTTAGTCCAGCTCAGTCCATAGATCTCTGATGGGAAACCTTTTCTTTCTATAGTTTCTTCTTGTGCAAATGCTGCAAAGCTGCCTCTCTGACAATCAATCTTACACATCTGCGACTCAGCACCTGTGTCTTACCTCAATACCTT